CCACATATTGTAAATATTACAGATAAATAATGCTCATCGATATGATACCTACCTATATGACACCTATCTATATGATACATTATATATGATACCTAATATGATACATACAATATGATACATACTATATGATACGTAACTATATGATATCTACCGATAGGATACTTACTATCAGGTCATCCCATAAGTTCTGTCCGAATTTTAACTTTTTTTAAAATGAACAAAATTTAAAGAGTATTTCATAATGTCTAATGGAGCTGAACATTATTTTTATGTTTAGATGCATTTAAACTGATCAAATTTTATTTCAGAGAACAATAAAATTAAATTTTGTTTGATTAAAACCCTGCTAACATGGAAGTACCCAAGAATCATTTGAGGCACATAATGCTTTATGAGTTCAAGAAAGGAAACTCAGCAGCAGAAGCGGCTAGAAACATTCACTCGGGTTATGGAGAGGAATGTGTGAATGAAAGAACTTGTAGAAGATGGTTTGCAAAATTCAGAGGTGGAGATTTCAGCCTTGAAGATGAAGATCGAACCGGACGTCCAGTTGAGTTTGATGAAAAGCTTCTCGAAGCAGGCCTTGAAGAAAATCCTGCTTTATCAGTTGAGGAATTGGCAGTGGTTCTCAGTTCAAACATACAACTATTCATCGTCATCTTCAACAACTTGGAAAAGTTCCTAAACTTGGAAAATGGGTGCCTCGTGAATTGTCTGAAAACAACCTCAAATCCTGAGTTGACATCTCTTCTCTCCATTCTCGCCAACTTGTTTCACCTTTTTGGATAGACTTGTGACGAAAAATGGATCTTTTATCGAAATGTTAAGCGTCGTAGACAGTGGCTTGGTAAAGGGGAAGGACCCCAGCCACAGCCGAGAAAGGAACTTCATGGGCAAAAGGTTCTTCTTTCAATCTGGTGGGATCGCCAAGGAATAATTCACTTTGAATTCTTACCACCTAATGCAACAATTAATGCTCAAATATACTGTCAGCAATTAGAACGTTTGAACCAAGCTTTGAGGAAAAAAAGACCTGCTCTAGTGAATCGAAAAAGAGGTGATGTTTCATCAGGACAATGCGCGACCCCACACAGCAAGAATCACGTTACAAAAGATCGAAGAACTTGGTTGGGAGAAAATTCTTCATCCACCTTATTCTCCTGATCTTGCTCCTTCAGACTACCATTTGTTTCGTAGCTTACAGAATCATTTGGAAGAAATAGCTTTTGTTACACAGGAAGAGGTTAAAACTGACATTTGTGAGTTCTTCGAATCAAAGCCAAAATAATTTTACAGCAATGGAATTAGTAAGCTTGTTAATAGATGGAAGGAAGTCATAGATAATCAGGGAAAATATATTGTTGATTGAATCTGTAATTAAATTTAACATTTGGTCACTTGTTTTCTTTATTCAAAATTCGGACAGAACTTATGGGATGACCCGATATATGATAGATACTATATGATACCTACCTATATGATACCTACTATATGATACATATTATATGATACCTACTCTATGATACATACTATATGATATCTACCTATATGATACCTACTATATGCTGCCAACTATATGATACCTACCTATATGAAACATACCATATGATGCCTACTCTATCGTACGTACCTATAAATACATTCCTACCAACTGTTCGGATTTCCCTATGATACATTTATGCTAGATTTGAAATTGTTTTATTCCTAAAAGAGACAATGAATTGTACATATGGGGACTAGTTAGGACTTCATGGAGATTCGGAGATATTATGACGGATGTAATAAGAATGGTAAATAAGAACGCGTTGTTTTGGTGTAAGGAATGTTGTTTTTTGTTTGGATCAGTGTTTGTCGTTAGCTAAGTTTAATTATAAGACCATCTTTTTCCTATTGCCTCTCTTGGCATTGTGCCACATTTGCGAAATAAATATTACTTTTCCCATTGCTATGTAGACTTTATGAATTTAAACGCAGCACTAGATTGGCGGCGAGGTCTCCTAAATTCACAGCTGAATTGGCTAGATATAACCGTAAGTTCTATGCTAAGAGTTTCTTCTGTCGCACTCCTCACTTGAGGAACCCTCTTCCAGCTTCTTGCTTTCCAGTCAGCTTTGATCTTTAAAAATTTAAATGCAATGCGAAACATTATTTTCTCTCTTCTTAATTCTTGTCCTTTTACTGTTCTCTCTCCTTAAAAATGTTTTCTTTTTCTCATATTCACTCACAATCAATAATTCTGTGTGTCTTAGTAGCTTTATTGCCTTGATTGGAGTCATCAGGTCGAGTAAGCTCGGCACTCCATAACACGCTGCTTTCATCCATTGCATTTCGAAGCTCATTTCGTCTGCATTCCATTTCTTCGATCAGATGGTCAATGTACATCTTCTTTGGTCGACATTTTGTTTTTTTTTCTACAGAATGGTATCCAGAGTAGAAAGTCATCAGCTAGAATTTCTTTGCTACGCCAACATCGACCAACAAATCTTAGTCTTTATTTGCCTTTTGATATGCTGATTGGAAGTATGTTGCCGTAGAGCTCTTTCTTTGATGGGTGATCTTTCCAGGATTTGTTTAGTGCTGCTCAAAGCTTGCAGTGATATGATTAAAAATATACACATAGAACGGAGAAGCTCGGGCCCTGGCTCTAGATATCTCTAAAGCGTTTCACGGGGGGGGGGTATGGCATGTCGGCCTTCTACGTAAGATTCAGGGATACGGCATTACAGGGCGATTATTTGATTTAATACACTAATTCTTTCCAGTCAAATTTCATCTTCAAACATTTAAATGCAATGTCAATCATTATTTTCTGCCTTCTTAATTCTTGTTCTTTTATTGTTCTCTCTCCTTAAAAATGTTTTCTTTTTCTCATATTCTCTTACACTTATAATAACCCAGCAAGCTCGGCATTCCATGACACGCTGTTTCCATCCATTCGTGTCGTTCAATTGCATTTCGAAGCTCATCTCGTCTGCATTCCATTTCTTCAATCAGATGGTCAATGTATATCTTCTTTGGTCGACATTTTGTTCTTTTTGTACGGAATAGTATCCAGATTAGAACGTCATCATCTAGTTCGTTTTGCTACGTCAACAATGACCAACAAATTTATTTGCCCATTGATATGCTGATTGGAGGTATGTTGCCATAGCGCTATTTCTTTGTTGGGTGATCTTTCCAGGATTTGTTTAGTGCTGCTCAAAACTTGGAGTGATATGATTAAAAATACACCCCCACACACAAACACACACACACACACACACACACACACATTATATATATATATAGAGAGAGAAACAGAGAGAGAGAGAGAGAGAGAAACAGAGAGAGAGAGAGAACCAGAGCCAGTGCTTTTGATGAGCCAGTCTAACTAAACATCACGGCTTCTTCTCTCGCACTTCTCGCTTGTGGATCCCTCTTCCGGCTTCATGCCTTCAATTCATGTTTGATCTTCAAAAATGTAAATGCAATGTCAATCGTTTCTTTCCACTTCTTAATTCCTGTTCTTTTATAGTCCCCTCTCTGTGAAGGTAGTTAAAATAACACCGGTGTTAATAAAAAAAAAAAAGAAGTCTTTTTGACATTCCGGGCCAAGTATAGCTTCTTTTTTTTTATACGTTTGCTGATCTTGAATTAAGATCATGTGTCCCTTAAGCTGTGAGCGTCGTAGGAGTCTCACATGTAACTTAGCCGTGGCAACAGTGGTGCGTCATGGGCAAGATACTCCTGACGGAACCCAACCCTCCTGTGTCAGTTCCAGTCAGTTATGTGCCATGCGTGATACAGGAGATCATGTATCTTTCGATACATGACTGACAAGGCAGACCTTTTCCCGCAGCAGGTTGCCATTTCTTTCTGCGGTAGACCAGTTGCCATCCAATTTTTACAGAACCCAGTCCTGTTATTTAATCATAGCTGGGGGTGGAGTAGAGGATTTATACCTTTCTCTAATATATTAGCACGTAAGCTAATGTAATTAATTCGACTGGAATTCGAACTCGGCTCTCCGATTCCTCAATCCGAGCCGCTATCCACCCTCCTGAGGCTGATTTGAATTCGGAGATTCCCTTTTCCTAGTCTGGGTTGTGTTCGGGTAGAAGGGATAGATTCATACTTTTGCACGTAAGTGAAAATAACTAACTCGACTGGAATTCGAACTCGACTCTCCGATATTTCTATCGATTACAGAACTGCACTTCCACACAATAAAAGGAATATTTTTTTTATTATGCATTGGTAGAAGTAATTTTCTCGATAACAGCAAGCAAACACTAGCTTTTTTCTAATCAAAAGAAATATCTACCAGAGTGTGATGGCTTGTATACCCTTCTCCCTAGCCACTGAATTCGGTCTTCATTACTGTTTACCTCGTTGAAAGAAAAAAAAATCCACTCTGATGTTCCACATCAGCTTAGGGTAATGAGCATCTGACAGTACTTAAATACTTATCCTTAGAATAAAAGCAAACCGCGTAATCGGGTCCCACGATCTATGTATACGTAAGATTATGCGATTTTTACGAGGACATTTCGGAAAATGGTTTTCCGTATGAACTTAGAGGAACAAATAGTGTTTAGTGTTTAAACGTCTGTGTTTCTTTTTTTTGCTCGACATAGAAAGAAGCGTAATTCCTGGACAAGATAATTGTGACGAAAAATGGAATTGGTAATGAAGAAGGATGAAGTTGACGTAGCGGAAATGGTGGCGGCGAGTCGAGTTCAAAACTTGATCTAATATGCTCCATTCAATTTCGCACTTTTTTTTTTCCGGATTCAGCACAAAAATAATTCAGTTTTAATGAAGAATGTCAGTGATGATGAAAAAATGGATTTATTTTGAGGTTCGAAGAAGAAAAGAATCGTTTCGATATCAGGGACAACATTGAGCGTTCCAACCAAGAAATAATTTTCTGGAATAGATGTTTCTCTTTAATGGGCTCTTGTCTTGAATAGCATTTTTTCTTTATTATTAATCATGAATTCGTTCATTCGTCACTCTCTCTATCGGACAAATTGAGCGTGCGAGTGAGCAAGAGAGAGAGAGAGAGAGAGAGAGAGAGAGCGTACATGGTAGGTTTGGCCAAACAGGTTGAGAATGAAGTAACAGAAACAAAAAGAGGGGTCATAAAGGAGAAAGTATTGCTCGTAACAACAAAAACTCGGAAGCTGTGGAGAATTATGATCGTCTACTTCCTGGGGGGATCTGATACATAGGGTGAAAGTGAGAACTTATATGAATGAAATAGATAGATTAATGGATAGACACATAGATTTAATCCCTTTTTGTATGACATCTAAATAGTCGGGTATGGCCTTAATCAGCACCGGGCACAAAATACATTTGACTAAAATTTTTTGAATACATTATACTATAATATTTTGATTTAATACATTAGACTATAATATTTTATACATTAAATTATAATATATCTGTTTAATACTTTAGACTATGATATTTTAATGCCTTAGACTATAATATATTTGTTTAATACATTCGACTATATTTTAATACCTTAGGATATACAATTTTTATTTAATACATTATACTATAACATTTTTAATACATTAGATTATAATATATTTATTTAATACAGTAAACTATATTAAGTTTTTAATACATTAGACTATAATATTATTTAGTACATTAGACTATAATATTTTTAATATTTGATACTATAATATTTTTGTTTTTAATATAGTAGGCTATAATATTATTGTTTAATACAGAAGACTATAATATTTTAATACATTATACTATGAAATTTTTGTTTAATGCATTATAATATAAAATTTTTCTAATATATTATTCTATAGTATTTTGAATATAATATGCTATAATATTGTTTAATACATTAGATTATAATATTTTTATTTTAGTATATTAAGCTATAATATTTTTATACATTAGACTACAATACTTTTTTAATACATTATACTATAATATTTTGTTTAATACATTAGACTATAATATTTTAATACATAAGACTATAATACTTTTAATACATTATGCTATAATATTTTTGTTTAATGACTTAGATTACAATATTTTTGTTTAATACATTAAACTCTATTTTTATACATTAGACTATAATACTTTTAGTACATTATATTGTAATATTTTTGTTTAATACAGTAGACAATAAAATTTTTAAAACATGAGACTATAAAATTGTGTTTAATGCATTATATTATAATATTTTCTAATACATTAATCTATAATATTTTAATATACTATACTATAATATTTTAATACATAAGGCTAATACAGTGTAACCTAAGGATATATAGAAACCCGGATATAAGAGATTTTCTCTGGTCCCCAAATTAGATATAAGATATAACAGACCAAACCCGGATATAAAAACCCGGATATAAGAGAGATTTTCTCTGGTCCCAAATTAGAGCCTGTGTTAATGTATATATAACAGACCAAACCCGGATATAAGAGAAACCCGGAAAAGAGAGATTTTCTTTGGTTTAAATTAGAGCCTGGAT